ATACATACATACATACATACATACATACAAAAATATACACCGCAACCCACATCGGCATACACACACACGCACGTGTGTACATGCTGTCCCCTCTTTCCACCCAGCATCCCCCGCACTCACCCCGCCGCCTCCACCTCCTCCGAGCGCTCCCCCTGTTCCTCCTGCCGTACCTCCTGCCAGGGGGCCCCTCCACAGCCCCCCGCATGCCGCCAGGAGGGAGGCCGGGGGTTTGTTGCCCCGCACAGGAGGGGGAGTCACACGACCCGAGTACAACAGCTGATAGCGAAAATCGCCTTTCGGGGGAAGGTGGAGGGTTGCGTGTGTGAGTGTGTGTGTGTGTGTGTGTATGGGGTGGGTGGGTGAAAGGCCGGGCGGGAGGAAATCAGGTGGGTCGGTGGGTGGGTGGGTGAGACCATTTGTATTAATGTAAGAGGCAACGGGCCACGTGTCGACGTGTGTGCTTTTTTGGGGGGGAGGAGGGAAGTGTGTACATAGATGTGTATGTGAACGGTAAGGGGAGGAGGCCCAGAAGGGCAGAGGACACACCCAACCCACACCCAACCTTAGAGTGACACACCCTCACATGCAGCTTGTTGACATCGCAGGACGCAACCGGTGTGAGCATGTGTGTATGTATGTAGAGTGTGTGTGTGTGTTTTACTGAAATCCCTCTAACTCCCCCCGTCTCCCCCCCCTTCCCTCCATTCATCATTCCGCACCCTTAACCCCCTCGCCGTACCACCACTGCTAAATCCTAATATTTAATCCGCACTCACCCTCACCCTCGCCCCCGCACAGCTGGTGATAAAGTAGGAGGAGGTATTGCGAAGTGGAAACACATTTCATAAACGCAACCGAAGGACGTGCAAGGAAACAACTCTTCTCTTCTATTGCCTTTAACAATAATGTTTTTCCATAAAAACATCTATACAGGAAACTCAAGATTTAAAAAAAAATTATTGCTTTATATTTCTAAGCCAATAGTATTTGTTATTATACGTAATTCAATGTCAAACAAGGAGAAGGTCCAACGCCATTTCCTCAAAACCCCCACTTCCCCCCTCCCATCCCCCCACCCCCCTTCTCCCCCCTTCCACCTTCTCACCCCCTTCCCCCCGAGTAGCTGCCTCACCGTGGGATCTGGCAAACACAGATAGCCCGCCGTCGGCATGTCCGACATACATACACTCGCAGCCGCCATCGTCTCCCGTACCGCCACTAAACCCGCTGCCGTACACCCCCAGCAGCGTAGAAAAAGGTGCACAGCCGGGGGGAAGCGGCCGGGAAGCGACTGCCGTAAGCAACTCCGTGTCGTACACGATGATCTCCCTGCAGCAACCGGTCGAGGGGGGACTGAGTGTGTGCGTGCGTGTGTGTGTATGTGTGTACGATAGCATGTGCGCATGTATGTGTGTACGATAGCATGTGCGCATGTATATATACATATATACATATATATATACATATATACATATATATATATATGTGTGAGCCCGGGAAGCCATCATACACGTCGTGTCGAAAAACACGATTGTGCCGACATACGTCTGAAACATCAAGAACTGCCGTACGACTCGAAATCCCGAAAAAATCCAAAACAACAGAAACGCAACTGCCCGTTGGGCCCCGGGGGTTGGGGGCGGTTGCGGCGGTTAGGCGGTTAGAAGCTACTGAGGCGCCCTGGGGCTTTCCCGCCGCCATTCCCCCGTCCTCCTACAAGCCTAAAACCCTTTCTCCTTTCCGCCCTCCCGCCCTCCTCCGAAACCAAACTCAACGGGTGTTTTAATCCACTATGCTAGGCTCCTTCCCCCTCCCCCTCCCCCCTCCCTCTACCTGGGCAGCAACAGGAACATAAGTCCCCTGGTGGCGCAAAAGTGGGGCTGGAAGGGCCCTACATCCGGGGTGAAGGGGGGGGGAGAGATACACCCGAGGGGGCACTTGAGTGTTTTCACACCTAGGGGGGTCTTCTCAACGTTGTGTACCGCGTGAGGTCACTGATGGCGACATGTGTAGAGGGGGAACTGGGCGGCTGGGTAGCTGGCCCCCCCCCATCCCCCCCCCACCCCACCCCAGCTCATGCTCTATGACCGTGACACCCGCACATCCCCCAACCACCAGCTCGCCTGTGTCCCCCCCCTTCCAAACCCATATCCCCCTGCTGCTGACCACGGCCCGGCAAAACACACCGACATACATACACGCATACACACACCTGTATGCCCCGCTCGTTGCACCCTGATCCCCACTCTTTCCCCCCCCGGGGCCCCCCCCGGCGGGTGGGGCTCCTCCAGGGTTATAAGCGCCAGGCCCCCCTGGAGGCTGCTGACCGCCAGAAGGCGGCTGTCCAGGGGGTCCACCATAAGGCCCCCCAGCCACACGTCCGGGAGGGGTAGTGCCCTCGTCCACAACACCGACCCGCCTGTGCAGGGAGGGAGGGTGAGGGGGGAAGAGTGAGAGGAGGAGAGGGGTTTGGGGCGTGTGTGTGTACGTGTGTATGTGCGTGGAGGGGGGGTTATGCGTGTGGAGGTGGAATTCGGGGGTGGTGTGTGTGGGGGGGGGATGGGAGAGGGGTAAGGGGTTAAGCGGGGAAGCTACGGAGCAGGGCGTTAAACCCACGCCCACGTTGACACGCATCCAGTTACTGCAGCGGCTCAGATCACGCGGCTCAGAATCGTAAGACATACATACGCACACGCAAATACACACACACGCTGTCCGGTATCCGCTCACCCTTCGTATCCCACAGCAGGAGCAATCCCGGGGACAGCAACACGGCCAGCACTGCCGAACTAGACATCACCCAGCCGAGACCGGCGATAGCGCCGTCGCTGACAACGGCGCCGCCGCCGCCAGCACCGGAGGCGCCATTCGCGATACCGCCGCCACCGCCACCATTGCTGCTACTGCCGCCGCTGCCGCTGCCGATATCGCGGCCGCGAGCGACGGCCCGGATGTGGTCTCGTACGACAAAGTGATCCTGCAGTACGTGTTAGGCACGTAGCGCGCGTGCGCCTGTGTGTGTGTGTGTGCGAGAGAGGGGCGACCCGCCGTGTACAGGACGCCCGGGAGTTTGTGTTTGCCTTCCTCACAGCCCAATCGCCTTTTCCCCTTATCCCATTACCCCCGGGGCACAAACACACCCTTATCCCCCTCCATCCCCCTTTCACTTACCCCCCAAAACACCTCCCACTCCGAAAGCCCCCCCCCTTTTCGCCTTCCCTCCCCCCCCAATAAAGCACACCCAGACATACACACGCACACGCGCACAAATACACAAACGCACACAGTTAAATACAGACAGACAGACAGACAGACACGCACCTCCAGTCTGCTGATGATGCTCCCTGTCAGTACGGACCAGAGCACCACCCCACCCGCGGAGTCCCCGGAAGCAAGTCTGTATGTATGTAGTGTGTGTGCGTATGTATGAATGTATGTATGTATGTGTGGGGATAATATGCCAAGTTAACGAAGAAGGGGGGAGGGGGAGGGGGGAATCATCAGATGCAAAAGGAGGTTGGGGCGGAAGAGGGGGAAGGGAGTGTGTGTGTGTGTGTGTGGCTGACGGGAAGTGGTAAGGGGGCGTACGGACGGAGCGGAAGTACTGGAGGAAGCAGAAAGAGCGTCAACAGACTTACAGACAGAGATATACGTGTGGACAAGGTAAACAAGGTGGAAACGGCAACACGGCAACATTACGGTCCTCTTCCCCCGCCTTCCGCCCTCCCCCCAAAACACACACACACACATACACACCGGGTTTATTCCCCTCCCCCCCGTTTTGAGGCACCTGAGGTGGCTTCCGTGGTTCTTCATATCCCGGGAGTGACAATCCGGGCACCTGTGTATGTACGGCATTGGGGGGAAAGACGAACCACACACGATTGAAGCTGCTGCCAGGGCAGGGGGGGCCCGGGGAGAGGGTTCACTGCAAAGTCAGAAAGCTGGACGCAGGTGTCGACCCCCCGGTTGGTTGGTGGTTGCAGTGGAAGTCAGAGAGGTGGGGTAGGGGAGGGGCGATCTGGGGGGAAGTGTATGCAAAGGGGTTGGGGGGGATTGGGGGGGGGGTAGGGGGACAGGTACGAGGTGTACGGGAACGGCAAATGAAGTCGCAAGGCGAGGGGTAAGCAGGGTTGGGTCAGCTGTGGGTCGACCGACGCGTCCAAAGCAACCACCAACTGCCAGGTATGTGTGTGTATGTATGTGTGTGTATGTATGTATGTGCGTATGTGTGTGCATGGCAGGAGGGGGGACCACTGGATGTGGGGTTTGACGCGAAAGGGGGGGGGGATCTGGCATCTGGGTTGGGGGCGCAGGGGTAGTGGTGGGGGTTGGGACAGGGGTTTGCCAAAACGTGTCCACATGCCGTACCATTTCACGCACGTGACCGGGTGGTTTCTGTGTCCTCCTTGCAGCAGGCAAGCCAGCTGCAGCTCGTGAACCTGGGGTTGAGGTGTGTGTGTATGTGGTGGGGGGGGTAGTCGTGATATGATGGATTCGGTGGACACATGGCAGCATGGGGGTTTGGGGGTTTCCAAGTAGATCTCCACATGCAACATAAGTCCGGGGGGAGCCCGTGCGTGTATGTGTGTATTTGTGCGTGTATGTGTGTGAGGTGGGGGGGTGGAAGTGGAGGGTGGGGAGGAAGACGGGAGATGTGAAAATGTGGAGTAGGGGTAAAACGGAGGCGTCGGGGGAAACCGTTTATATTCATACTTGTACAACTCAGAAGAGACACTGCCGACGGCCAAAGCAGGAAGAGCAGTGTATATATATGTGTGTGTGTGTACATGTGTATTTGTGTATGTGTGCGTATGTGTGTATGTATTTGTTACATATCGATTCGGGCCTGAGACTGGCCAGGGACACCTAACAGTGTGTGTTTGCGTGTGTGTACGTATGTGTGTACGTATGTATGTATGTGGGTCCTAGTGCGCTAGGCACATGGACCGGAAATTCAAGCCTGGGGGATGGGAGGAAGAATGATGCGCGGTTGCGGGGCGGGTTGATTTAGGCTTCTACCCTTGTCCATGACATGGAGCGAGGAGCTCATGTCGCCATAGCGGCAACCGACCACGACGCAGGATAGCATCTACCTCGACAACAGCGATGCTTGACCCGACTCCATAAGCAAAGAGATGTGTCTCCAGGAGGTCGGCAGAGCCCTGGTTAGCCTTCGTCGCCGGGCACGGAAGTACACCTACGACGTCCAAGCTAGGCGAATGCATGTCGCGTTCTAATGGAGGCATGCTAATGGTAAATAGATTACAAAAGCTATTTTTCCTGCATTCATGTGCTGAGGTTGCAGCAGTCTCTTTCGTACGTCTGAAAGTGCTGCAAGGCTAAATCCTCAATTTGCGATCGATCCTCTGCTGCCGAAACGCAGTTTTTGCCAAGGTTCCTTGCATCTACTTGATGAAAAAACATTGGCAATTTTTACAGAGTTGGGCATTTCCTACGGAAAGCATGCCCGGTTCGTACATCTCAGCGACTTCGGATGCATTTTGCAAGAGGATGTATAACATGGACTCCCTTTCCGGGCAGAACTCTCAATCGTAACACGCAGAACCTTACTTTGGTTACACTTACATTTTAAAAATACATTTCCGTACGCAGCCCAACCGCTGGGCGTCTTTCACCTATCAGCGGTGGGATTACCAGAGGCTGCGACCAGAGCACCTAACACCGAATAACACACGAGCAAATCTTGAACGAATACTTTCGAGTAATCTGCATGCTCTGCCGAAAGTAAAGATTATCGGGCAGCCCAAATCCATCGCCCATGCCGTTCCCAACTCAACCCAAACCAAAAAGCCATCAACAGCCCACACCTCCACTTAACGTTGCTTCCAAATACCTTCTTGTTTCTGTTCTTCATCTGTTTCTCCACCATCATGAAGAAGTCCAACCGCGATATCCCATGGACTTGCAGCAAAACTGCTTGGCCGTCAAAAAGCCAGCAGCCGACATCATTTTCCAACTGCGCCAACCCCATTCCTGCCAAGGCGTGCCGGCGGTCTCAGCCGAGCAACATTGCCAACAGTAATTGACACCGACAGATTCAGGCCCGCCTCCAATGTCCCATTCCTTTTCTCCCCAAACCTCACTCCACACATACCTGCACATATGTGTCAACAGACAGGGGCCACCCCGCGGCAATCCCAGCCCCCCCCCCACACACACACGCACGCACGCAGATATGCGCGCGGGGAGCGCACAAATACCGCGCTGACATACATACACACGTGGCAGTTCCGCCCTCGCCAAGAAGAACTCCAGCACTCGTAAACGTACCGACATACATCCAAACAAACAAACACACACACACATATGTATGAGTTAGATTACATATATATGTATGTATACATATGCGCACAACATATATGCGGCCCCCGGTCCAGCTCTTTAGTGCTTCATTCCCCTCCTGGACAGCTCCCTGCTCCCGCCCTGCACCCTAACCAACGACAATACCTTCGCCATCGCCCTCCACCGCCTCCCGCCCTGCACCCGCCTTTCCGCAGCCGCCGCATTAATGCCACTTGCATCGATACACGCACACGCACACGTACATACAGATATATTTACGCACACACAGAGCTTTGTCCCTACCCTCATATCGCATATCTTCACTTTTTGCCCTTCTATTCAAGCTACGGCTCACTTCTTCTAGGAGAACACAACCACATCCACACCCACACGTACCCTCTGAATAGAGCCCTCCTCACCCCAAGCGCCGCAGGAGTCTCTTAAGTTGCAACCGGCCGTCCGACACCAAAGGCTCTCATGACTAAGATCCTACCAAGTAAAAGTAGAAGTCAAAGGTAGATCCGGATCCAAACCCAATCCAAACATCAGCTCCAGACCCAAGGAGGGGCTCGAGTCCACGGCCATGAAGCAGCGGCTTGTACGGCCCAGGTCGTTGAAAGGTGGTGGTGAAAAGTTACTTTGGCTTGGTTGGTTGGAAAGTAGTTATGGTGGTTGCGGTTCATTACAGTTGGACCGTTGTCCCCGGCTGCGTGTAGTCGATCTTCTCCACCCGCACCTCCCCCTCAACCAATTGGTACACATACACGGTAACCTGGGATTGGGTTGGGCGGGGGCGGGGGGGTGAGGGGAGTTATGTGATGCCGAGTCAAGAAAGGAAAACTACTACTGCCGGCGGGAGTGAAAGGGAGGGAAAGGGAGGGGGGAGGGAGGGAAAGGGAGGGGGGAGGGAGGGAAGGGGAGGGGGGAGGGAGGGAAGGGGAGGGGGGAGGGAGGGAAGGGGAGGGGGGAGGGAGGGAAGGGGAGGGGGGAGGGAGGGAAGGGGAGGGGGGAGGGAGGGAAGGGGAGGGGGGAGGGAGGGAAGGGGAGGGGGGAGGGAGGGAAGGGGAGGGGGGAGGGAGGGAAGGGGAGGGGGGAGGGAGGGAAATGGGACAGAGGACCCCCCGGGTCAGAGACCAGCATCGCATCACATCACATCACTTGTACCAACAGTCACCCGGCCGGGGGGGCGGGGCAACCGTCATCCGGGGTAACATCTAATCCACCCCACCCCAGGCCCCTCCACTCCACCCCCCACTCCACCCCGCCCTCGCCCCGCCAGTCTGGGTTTTAGGTTTTGTGTCTCCGTTTCCCACCGACCACTGAGCCCATTGCGTGGTCTTCATGGCCCCCGACATCCTTCCCCTCCCAATACATACATACATACATACATACATACATACATACATACATACGCCTACACACAAGAACCCCCAACCCCCAAACAAAACCCTCAAACCCTCAAACTCCGCTCCGACGCCGCCCCCCGGCGGCCCCTCCACACCACATATATACCTTATGTCCGTCCAGGTCCATGAGCACGAAGCTGGGGTTGACGGGCCCCTCCGAGTGCTGGTGGTGGTAGGCGCCCGTGGCGGAGCCGGGGTTCAAGGTCAAACAGGAACCAGACTTGCGCGCCTCGAACCGGTGTGTGTTTCCCGTCAGCAGGATGTCCGCCCCCATCTGGCGCTGCAGCAGTGAGGTGGCGTCGGGGTCGGCCCAGGGAACGATCTGGGGGCGGGGCGGGGGGGAGAGGTGAAAGGGGTGGGGTGATTGAGAGGTGAAAGGGGCGGGGGGAAGAGGTGAAAGGGGTGGGGTGCTTGAGAGCTAGGCGGGCAGCTAGACAAGAGAAACCTCAACCGGCAGTGCTGGTGATGGTGGTAGTTTGTGGTGGTGGTGGTGGTGGTGCCGGGGCCCTTAACTCCCACTCATGCGCCCTCCCTTCACCCCCACCCCCCTCCCCCGGGTCGGTCGGGTCGGTCGCGCGTTTTCTTGGGCTTTTGGGAGGAGCACTTGCATACCGACAGCTTATCATTAGCAGCTAATCAGCTAGTTCTCCAGGCCAACAGCAAACTTTATTCCAGCTTTACGACAGCAGTGCTTTACTACTTCTCCGCCGCCTCTACACCTACTTTTCTACACCTACTTCTTTACGGCTTGGCATTACTGCTTTTCCTGCTTTTTTAGTCCTGGCGGCTTAGGTAGGTAGTTTTTCCGACATCATCTTCACTTCGTCATCCCGAGGTCGCGGTCTTCACGGACGCCTTTCGGTCAGTTCTACGTCTGGTACACTCTTGCCCTGGCAGCAGCTTCACTCGTTTGTGGTTCGTCTTTCCCCCCCCCTCCCCCTCTTCCCCCCCTGGCGTGTCCACATTCGCATAACTTCGAGAGTAAAAACCAGGGCCCCTGAGCCGTACAACCCATTGCCCGTCCAACAGGAGGTGCCGTACAAGCCTACCTGGTGTCCGTGTACGACACCCACTTTGAATCCCGCCAGATCCAGAACCTGCGGGAGGAGGGCCAGTGCGGGCGGGGCAAAGGGGGGGGGAGAGGGAGACATGAGGGATGGAGATTTTTGAAAAAGATCATCGATCATGTGGGGCCCCACGTACCAGGAAGGGAGGGCAGCAATGACAAAAGTCGGCTCCAGGGGCTGTCGGGAAATGTGATTGCAGCGCGCTCTTTAACCATAGTGTACGGCGACTTTTTGTTGTTGTGGGGGGTAAGATTGGTAAATTGAAGAGGTCAGGGTTATTCGCGTGATGCTGTACTTAGCGAACTCTCGTGGCCGCGCGCGTCCCGATGCGCCCACTACGTTGGGCCTGGCGTTGACACTGCAAAGCCTTTCCTTTCTCCCTTCCCCTCACAATTTCCGGCCTTCCCTTTGTGTATTGCCTGACAGACGGGTTTTCTAATTAGCGTGGTCATACACTTCTTTGTACTGTTCCGGCAGGACACGTTTGTTTGTGCCTGAAAGCCCGCCCCGGTACGCTCCGCAAGAGTGTCAAGAGCCTCACCAGTTGCTCGGGAGCCGGGAATTCATCAAAGTCTCCAGCGACGAGGTGGAGCTCCCCTGATATCGTGCGGAGGTAGTCAAGGAATGCCTGGCGTGCAGCGGTGGAAGGTTGATGGGGCGCGGAGGATGGTGCGCGAAACCAAATGCCATGGCAGTGTCCGCTGAGAAGCGCACCTTGCTGCAGACGTTTCCCACGCATATCGTGGTGTGAATCTTCCCAGGTTTGAGCAGCTCCTTGAATTTTGCGGGTAGGTCCGCTGCACGGTGTGGGATGTGCAGGTCGCCGATGCACAGCACGAGCACCATTGCAGGCAAGAGAAATACTAATCGGCGGATCGGTGTGGATGTGCGTGATCAGCCTAATGAGCGAACCCAACAAACAGCTTTCGATTGCTGCACAGTTCAAGCTCAATACTCCTGCACTTTAAGGTCAAATCCGCAAACGCAGCGCTAAGAACCTGATATCTTTACTGTTTCCATCCGGGCACCACGATGGCCTTCTTGGGGTATGGTGTCCGGGTACCAAAATTCAGTTGCACAACTCGTACAATAACAGCAGTCACCATGTGGGATCGCACGAGAAATTACTTATCATAAGTCTTCCTTACGCACGGCCACTTCCGCAGTGCGCTTATAACTCGACCGCTATTGAGGTCGTCAACCTTTCCGAAACAGTTTTTTTTGCTCCGCAAGTGCCAATGGACATGGAGGTTACCGGTGTGAAGCCTGGAGCTCTCAACCCAATCCGGTAATAAAGAAGATTCTGCTGAATTACCGTCCTGCACCCGGACATGCAACGGCGAAGAGCATTCTTTATGGCGTCCTGCCATGTGCAGGGGAACTGGGCCAAAGCTAGCCGTCGGAGAACGGCTGAGCGTTTGTGGAAAGTTCGCCATCAGTTCCGCAGGTGAGCACTGCTTCGCTGCAATTGTGACACCTTCAGCCCTCCCACAAGTACAGGAGCCTTCATGCTGCCTCTAGCATAGCAACCACTTCCTTGCTACAAGTACTCGCTGTATTGCATCTCCCACGATAATGCACAATCCCCACTGGCTCTCGTAAGCCTCCTCCATAGCTGCAGCTTAGTTCCCCCGATGCACGCCCCCGTGTTCCAACTCGTAGGGCAATGGCGTGAGCTCCCGGTTGGCGAGCAGGTGCGTCATTGGGTTTGGTTTCGGAGAAGATTGGACGTATCCGCGGGGCGTTAGGACGGTTCACCTTGGAGCCCTTCCGGAGAGCAGCCGGATGGGAGCGTGAGGGCTGGGTGGGGGGCGTGAGGTCCAAGTGGGAGCTGAAGAGCCAAGTGGGGGAAATCACCAGAAGAGTGAAGGATGCGTAAAGATGTAAGGGGGCAGTAAGGGGACACGATTGAGGGGCGAAACACGGGGGAATGAGAACGAGGTCCGGGAAAGGGTGAGGGAAATACGTGGGGGGAAGAATGGTGGCGGGTAGGGGGATGTGGTGATAGAAGGGCCCTATGCGGATCATCACGTGCAGCGGGAGGATAAGGGGAAGAGGAGGAATTAGTTTCTTGTCGATCTGACCGCTCCTCAGATCTAAGGTGCTTGGCACGCGCACACACATACAGACATACACATATACACACTCCCTCTCTCTCTCTCTCTCTCTCTCTCTCTCTCTCTCTCTCTCTTAAACAGACAAAGACACAACAACCCAGATGATGCTATCTGCCTGCTGTTTTGTCTTACTGACTGCTATCTTCTCCAAGGTGCCTCTCCAGCCATGTCGGCTGAAATCTGTCGCATCACCTCCTGTTGTCGCCCGTGGTGTCTGCTGCCCCCCACGACTACCCGCCACCATGGCCCCCCTCCCCCCTTCCCCACCCCCCCGGTTCCCCTATATGCCGCATATGTCCCCCTCGGTGTAGATCCCCAGGGCACCAGAGTTCGCGGGTGTGGGACCTGACGGTAAGGCTCTGGCCAATCCACCTAGGTAGGTAGGTAGGTAGGTGGGTAGGTGGGTAGGTGGGTGGATGGATGGACGCATATCTATCTGCCGGGCCGCACTCGGGGGCTGGACCAACAGCAGGTTGGGAATCCGTGATGGGGCTGCTGGCGGCTGACGGTCGTGGACGTCGGCTGCGTAGTGCCGGACGCCTCGACGGAAGTCTCTGGGGGCTTTGGTAGAGTGGATATGTGGATGGAGCGGGGGAGTTATGAGCGACGGCGGCGGCGTGGCGGAGAACCAGCAGCAGCAGGGCCAACAGGCGGCTTGTGGGATGCGCCAACCGCCGCCCGCCCGGCTGAGGCATTAAAATGCAGAGGCCTTGCAGGGGGAGAGGGAGCGGTGGGGCTGCCTGCAGGGCGGGCGGTGCCAGGGGCGGTGATGGCGGGGAGGGGGTTTCGACCATTGAGATGGCAATGGACGTGCTTGCTGCGGCGGGGCCACGCGGCATTGCGAGGTGACGGGATTCATCATGACGTGGCGTGACGTGACGTGATTCGTGTTTTCTTGCGTTAAAGGGGGACGATAGGGGCGCCCGGATATTATTGTTTGAGTTAAACCGTTAATGAAGCAGTGGCCACTGTGGTGTGGGTATTGTCGTGAATATGGAAGGGTTTGGGGCCGCGGCGCAACAGCATGCACGCTGTTTGGGGGTCGTGAAGGATCGGAGTCTAACCTGGGGTTATTGATACAACGGCGGCGCGGCAGGGCCACTCTCCGGCATGACATGACAGAACCAGAAACAATGTTTGGCAGCCCTGAGGAAAGCGTGGGAAGGAGAGGGACGGACAACCACAACCCACCAGGAGGGAGCACAGCCTCCTTTTCGGCCATGGCTGCACGGAGCGGTGTTGTGGGCGGAGACGATGTTGGTGCTGCACTGCTTGGCTCTGCCTGGATGCTGTGTCGTTGTTCTGGAGCTGCAGGATTGCCTCATGTGAGAAGCAGGGAGCTCAGCAGCGCCTGGCTAAGCACTCCATATGCCGTTTTGTCGGGGTCGACCAACAGGGTGGCGTACTATTTCAGGGGCATGTGTCTTGGGGGCGTTTAGTCAAGCTGCTGGGCTCTGACCACGGACGTCTCCATGGGCGTCATGGAGGTCTCGCACATTATATTGACAGTACAGTACCGCCTGTATAGTGTTGTGCGTGCGTTGAATCACATTGTAGTGGGCTCCGCTCAAAACGGCTGTTATTGCTGCATGGAAGCGGTGTCTGTCGAACTGTAATACTGTTAAACCTCGCTATTGCTTTGAGTTCCAAGGGTGTTAACCTAGGCGGCGAACCGCAGTATACTCATTTCAAATTGTCTGGTCCGCACTAAGGTACATCCACACAAGGTGTCTGATGTGTAAGGTGATGTACCTTACCCAGCAGCAAAGAGCGATAGGGCGGCGAATTGCATGAGTACACGGTGACTACCGTGGTGACTTCGTGACGTACAAAATGACCGACCTTGTAAAAATCACGTATATAGTTCGATCATATCGTTCCATGACGCGGCTGAAGCCGCAACCATGGGCTTGATCCTTCTCATGGGCTTGATCCTTCTCGTGTTTTTTTAATTGAATATGATTTGGAAGGGCTTTTGTTACAGGCCTAAATACAACCCCCTTGAATCCACACCTTCAGGTCCTACCCCTGTTACAAATCGAGGGTGGGGTTAGTCTGGATTCCCCTGTGTTTCGAGAGGCCGCGCGTAACATACATAAGTCGGACACATCAAGTCCTGAGTCGATGAGTCTACTGCTACCGCACGAAGCCTACTGGCAAATTCCCCAGCCATATGACGGGCCCAGAGCCAGCAAGGTATGGCGGATAACAAAACAGGTAAGATGCTTTCTACAAGGTTGCTACATAGGTAAGAGTCACACGGGAATGCAGCAGCACACTCACGAATCAGCACACGCAAGGTTCTGTCCGCAACCTTTCGTCACAGGAACCACATCACGACCGATAGCTCAGTTCCGCTTCCGGGGATCAACATCTCGTACTCGCGGTATGGCTCGCTATCAAATGCTCACTGCTACTTTGCCAGAAATGCGTGGCTTGTCGGAGTATCGTCGGAGTATCGTAAATGCAAGGATGCGCGCGCATAATCGTTGTCTGCAGCGGCGTTGCCACAGTCCGCCAGTAATCAATCAATCTCAGTCACCAGTTTCCCACATAATCGCGAGCTGTCATGCTATACACGGTCAGTTGCTCAAAGGTCATGCAGGCTGACTCGCCCCTTACCCTCCCTGGAATGCTCGCCATATCCTGCTTGCAATTGCATAAAATCGGAAGGGACTGAACACCCCACAATACATTAGTTAAATCCGTCACCGAACGCCTAAATCAATGGATCATACGAATGTATCGGTCGCGCACCAGGTCACTGATGTTTCGAAGCCCACACCAAGGACACGGATCGCAACGTCTTATCCGCCGTCCCAGCGAAGGAGATTAGCCGGTATTTCCCAGCTGCGGCAGCATCGCCCGGGCATGGCGTGGCCCATGCAAACGTACCTTCCTCCCCATCCGTGACACCAAGGGAAACGTTCCGTCCCGTGCTGGTGGTAAAAATCATGCCCTTTACCTCCTTAAAGGTGAAGAAGACAATGGCGCGGTCGATTGCCTCGCCACTGGCAAAGGCCACGTCGACGGTATTGTTCTGGACCCCACGTATAAGCCCAGGCCTTGAGGCGTATTCCACCTGCAGGCTTTCCATCGCCGTCGTGTTACTGTATCTAATCTTGGTGATGGGATTTTGCCCAAAGGCTGACATGGCAAGATCGTCAAAGAGGTGGCCATCAGCCGTTGAACCGTAGGGCCCCATAATGAGGTTGCACGTTGGCGGCTTTGGCGGAGGTGGCGGCGGGTTCTTCAAGCGGTCCAAGAAAATCCCCGTATAGTTGACGGAGGCGAGGTCAATCACCCGCCCCTTGTCCAGATCGGCCTCTTCAGCGAATTTCCCTGTCAATAAAAGAAGAGGCCACCACATTGAATTTAGGAGAAACTTACGACAAGGTGCAGGATACGGGAATAACGTAAGGTTTACGCGCAGGAAACTGCCTACCAGAAGAACTACACAAAAAAGGGACTTACTCAGGGGCACCCATGTCATTTTCATGTCGCTCTTCGTCTCCTTAAAAAGTTTCTTCAGCTCATCAAAAGCGCCGCTGCGTGCCAGGAGAGCCCAGGGGACCTTGGCGCCAACACCGCCTGGAAGCTTCCCGTGGAAGTCCTGCACACATGAAATCGTGACAAAATCATTTATCAACCAAGCAGGTATAGGCCATCTGGGATGGAACGTCAACCAAAACATGGAGGTGCGCGCGCGTACCTTAGTCCAGACAAGGTACGATACGCGTACGGATGGGTCGACAACAACGTCCGTAGCGCCAAGTCGACGGTAGTCCTCGCAGAACAGAGAGCACTCGCTAATGTCGTATTCGCCCTCGGCCGTCAGAGATGCACGGAACCTCAAGCCTGGAAAGCATTTTCAAACATAGTTGACCAAGCGCTCTGCAGCAGTGCAAGAGGATCAGCGGAATCGCACCTCGCGCCAGATGGGTGGCATTCAGGATCACCATACCATTCCAGCAGCACTTGACCGGGAAGGGCAATCCACGATGCAGAAGGTCGATTGTACGGAAGTCTCGGGCAATTGGGTCCGTTTTCACGTACTGCGGAAAGCAATAACCGATCAGGCAGCAAGGGCAGAGGCATACATAAGCTTGGGGAGACCCCCGAATTAGTCGGGAGCGCGAGATTATGGCTAGCTGCTGAGATGTGGAGTTGAGGTCACAGTTGATGGACCAGATTCGCACGCTGGATTGGTGGCGATTGCCGAACCCTCCGTCTCTTCGGGTGTTCGGGTGAATGGATGAGGTGGGGTCCCTGAAGGCTGGATCCGCCGCCTTGGACTTACAGTTCGTATGGCGAAGTACAGTGTGGTAGTGGTGGATGGTGCTATAAGGTGATAAATGATCTAGAACTGACAATGTGATAAAGTGGCCCAGAAGCCTCCCACTCTGTAACATTACATTACATAAGCTTGCTGGCATGGAAAAACACGCGGGTGAAGGAGACGTCTTGAACACTTTCCCTGGCCGACACACTCACCGGAGCTCCACCAACGTCGCGAGAGACCCACGTATCTGCAGCCACACATAGCGTAGTAGGCGTTAACCAGTAATTTCCATTCGGTATTGCGTAATGAAGACACAGAGGTGGTTGTTGATTGGTGGTTGGTGATGTTGCACAGCCGTTAACAAAGTCTTGACTTACCATAGAACTCGTAACGAGGCTTGATTGGTGCAGCCTGCACCCGAGAGTCGGCAGCAGCCTGGCGCGCTGCCTCCTCGACGTGTACTTTAGACATGTGCTCTATCGCGGTTTGCCAGGTGATCCCGGGAATAGCAGTAGATCCGGAAATCGTACTTGCCGCCTGATCGGACTCCCCGCTCATCAGGCGCCGGCGCAAGAAACGCTGCGTGACACCGCTGACACGGCCCTTCTTGTTGCCAATCCAAACCTGCAGACAGCCGGAAGCCATGAATGCAAACTGGACGCTCCCAAGCTACCAACGAAGTCCGGAGAGACGCATACCTCAAAATCCAACCCGCATCCGATGTCGGCCTCAAACGCTGCCAGGCGTAGCATGTCGTGAGCACAGAAGAACACTGCAAAATTGCAAGGTCAAGTTCCCAGCGGGTTTAGGTAATTCCATGCGGTGTACGACAACCGCGAACCAAGCAAGGTTCATGCAAGGCTAAAGTCATTTCAAAGCTGGACGTAAGCTTACCATCATTAATGAAGATCACGAAGTTGTAGGTTCCTTCCGGGCTTTGGTACACGGGTTCTAGCGCGGCGTTTCGGAGTGAAGCCAAGTACTGAACGCAGCACACAACGTGTGTTAGCATGTCAGTCACTGCAAAGTCTTTTCACAATCCGAGCTGTAACCCCAACGGACCTCAATACGATGCTGCTTGTAGAACGCCCCCGAATACGGGTCCATGAGAGTCTGGCGAGTCAACAGGCCATTAATGACGACCGTGTTTGGGATGCCAGCCGCAGTCCAAAGCGCCTCTGCAATCCGGAGCCAAGTTGTTGTGGTGTCCTTGCTGCCACTCTCGTAAATGGAAATGCTGACCGAAGAAGTGAAGGCCGGTTTCGTGTCATTGTTGAAGTACGCAAGTTGAAGATACTGGTCATTCCTGAGCATAAGCGCCAGGCGTAGGACCTCGAGAATCCAAAACTGCAAGGAAGTAATGACCCAAATGAGCGCAATGGACACAGGACCGGCGCTTTCCCCACGCTTGCCCTCGCTCACAACACAACCCCAAACCCGTTGCCCTCTTCTCCAGCCATTCCACGGCTTGACCCACCGGCATAATAGCCTCGCACTCATAAAGGTTTGCCGCAATTAGGTACGAAAGGCGCCGCGGGGATCCATGTGGCGTGTTTGGATGCTCAAGGCACTCCGCGGCTGTGCCCAGCTCACGGATAGACGCAAGCAGGTCAGTTGCAGCTGGCAGATGCTCTTGAGCTGCGGCTGGGAGGTCTTTCATTACCCTTAGAGCCCGCTCCAGCGGAACAGGAGGGAGCATGCCAGTTGCTACTGAGATCGCGATAGCAACTGCTTCAGGCTCCTTTTGAGCCCTGCTCTTGATATCTTTGGCAAGCTCAACCAATCGTTGGAGTTTCTCAGGCTTCTGCTCTGGAGCCTGTGTGGGCAGTCCGTATCACATCAAGCGAACTGTGCAAGCAACAAGGCGTGGCCAAGCACCTCGTACCATCGGCATGAAAAAGCCAAGGTCCTCCTCCTCTTCACTTGGAGCATCTTCTGCACGTAGCTGGACGGCGCTGAGAAACATCAAGACAAATAATAATGCGCCGCGCACAGCCATTCCTCTGAGTCCGCGCAAACACATCAAAGCTTCATCAACAGACGCATAAAATAATGCAATTATAAGATGGTTGACGTGAATTAAAACTTGATCACTTTGTGCAAGCGCGTGCTTGACTACAACGGCCTGTAATGCATTATTTCATCGCCGCTTATGTGTAAGCTTATGTGGTTGATCCTTTAAAAAGTTTCTTCGAGAGAATTGATTCAAAAATACAGGTTAATTGATGGGAAGCAGCCGTACGCTGAGGTAACCGTAACTGGGGGAATGAATTTCCGGGGAAATCTATGGCCATCATAGATTGGATTCAGGAATCTGTAGAGGTTTTATCAGCAAGTGTGTATCACATTTTGCGGGTGTCGCATGTTTGGACTGTAAGTCACGGCCCACGGTGAAGCCATGGATGGTTGAGAACGTCTGTTTCTGCAGAAGGTTAAGGCGTGCAATTTTAGTGCTGGGTGCTATCTAGACCCAGCCGGTTGAGCCTCGGCTCCTTGTCGAACAGCCACGTAGATTCGACCTCCGTCGACCTACTTCGGGTTAGATTAACATGATGGCCTAGACTCCCTTAAACCCATAGCCATAAAAACTACTATCCAATCGTAACTGAAGTGTGGCCATAAGGTTATGCAACGGCCCAGCAGCCGACACCTTGCGGCTTTGATGCCGAGCTCAATGTTCGAAGCACTAAACAACTTGAGCGTCCAGGCGCATTGTCTAGAACAGGAATGCAACATAGCGTAGTAAGGAAGCGGCTCACTCAGGGACGTTGCCCAATTGGCCAGACTTACCAGGGCATTTTCCTTGAGTCCCTGGACTTTTGCTATGATGCGCATGCCCTCATGAAGCCGGGCAGATTTTTGGGCATACTGCCGAAGGTGGTAAACATCGGGCAGAGTAACGGGTTGAAATAAAGTAGGTCTACATTAAACCTAGGTTGAGCTGGGCTTGCAAGTTCCCAAGCCAATTGCGGTAACATAGGGTGACCGCTCCCCAAGCTCTGCCGGCAAATGCACGCAAACGCCCCAAATCGCACTCGCCATCACCAACAACCCTGTATGTGTACCTGGCTAATAGGAGCCTTTCGTCATCAGGTGGACAAATCCATCTGTGGTGCGGGATTTCAGGGGAGTTGTCAAATCACGGTTCACATACGTGTCGGGTTGGGGCCGTTGACTCGATAATCTTCTGCGCTGACGGCATATTGACACTTCAACCGGTTAAGGTATCCGTTCCTTGAATTTGCAAAACCAGTTTGTTAGCCGCGGATGTGTCCCTGTTTTTTTTGCAATTTTCGGAGGTTTTCTTAGCGCTACGAGCCGTGCCGGCTGTGGACGTATTTGCGGCTGTTCGCGGGCTGTTTGTTGGCGTTCATTGCATTCGTGGGCTGTTTGTGCGTCCTTGACACCCCTTGCCCTCAACCTCCCTGCCTTGTTGATGACGGTGGGGCTGTACCCTTTGAAATAGAGCCTTGCAGAAAAAGCACGTGGGTTTATCATTATTTAATATTGTTCAATCCTGCAGTGACTAAGTCACCAGCCGCCAGCTTGGCTTGGTAACAACAAACCGCTTGCGAAACCTCCCTCCCAACACCAACCATTGTGGAAGTTGCACTAGTGGCCGATAGTAATGACAGTTACCTGTGTTGCACCGTTAGAAAATCTTATGGCCTCAAGGGCCCTACGGGGGCCAAGAGCCCCACCAGCGACCCACCCAAGGCAAGCAACAACCAGAGACCGCTTCATTGCGGCAATCCAGGGATTGCCTTGGGTGGGTGGAGGGAAAACTAGAGGCAACTATCCCAGCAGCTGGACACACCTCTTGGTAATAGTCAAAGCAACGGCAGCTAAAAGCCCAATGCGCCTGTGCGACCCAAGTAGAAGCTTGGCGTTCCTTGCCATGCTGCGGTCGCATGCATGCAACCCGCTTTCACGCACCACGGCAGTTCCCTCGCAATAACTTCTTGCCTATCAGTACACGCATTCTTCGCTTCGAGAAGTCGAAGCTTATCAAATCCGGCACAAGGGTTAGGACGTTGGGAAACCTACAACCCAATATACTCGCCACGGTGGCGCTGTTAAACGTTGCTGCACTTACTTTATCTCTTTTTGTCCGCTGAAAATCTACCCGTTGCATCCTTACTGCGACCGAGTCCTTCCTGTGCGAGCTGATTGGTGCAGCGTGACCTTGGCCGTGACCGCTGCGGACGACTGCAAACTGCCGCTGCAACAGTTCTTCACCTGACCGATCTTTTGCATCCACGACGCCGCGGCACGCCTGCTACGGTATGTTGCGGGTAACCTCCTCCCCCTTACCTCCCGCCCCTCGGCCAATTCGACCAGCAGCAAGGTGATCTTTGCTGTTTCGTCCCGTAGTTTCGTGTTCAGATTGAATAACATTGGTCGAGTGTAGCACGGCTTGAGCTGTGGCCAGTGTTCTCGGGCAGCAATTGATCTAAGGTAGCAAATGTGCACGTAGAAAATGTGCTAGCGGTTAGGCTTGTAGAGGCGTCGCTGAAGCCTTCGGCTGCGCCACGGGCAAGGTAACGCAGCAGGAGTAGTGCCTTAAGTGTAGGTGACCTTGGGCGATGCAAACTACGCGTTCAGCCGAAGTGCCGTGGAGTCTGCAGCGAGTGGAGTCCGCCCCATCTGTGCTTGCGCACCACGCGGGGGGAAGTTTAACTCCCCTGCACGTTGGAACCAACACGTTGGAGCGGCAGTTGGCCCTGTAAAGTATCAAAATGGCACCGCATTTCTGTATTAAAGTGTCGTCCCATGGTTTCGCATTCTCCAAGAGCCGCATAACTCTTTGCAAATGGGGAAAGATGGTTTTTTTGCCACTGCTAAAAAAAATTCCCAGACGTTATGCTACTTTCATTTTCGCTTATGGGGTTATGTGCACCTTTCTGGATAGGTTACGTCAGGGCGGCCACCCTGGGGTATGGTTACAGCTCAAGGCTCAGCTCAAGGTTCGAGCGCACTCAGTCAACAAATATATTCAACCAAGTTTTATAAGACGATGCATCATTTCAGTAAGAAATTAGAAGCACTGTGCGCAAATCTTTCGTGTACGGGTGCACAATACAGGATCCAGGTTTACTTGAAGCTGGCCTTAACTCTTCTCGCATGCAATTAGACCAACGGAGAATTAATGAGCAATTTTCATCAACATTCTTTATCTCACCAAAATGTTTTGTCGCGAAGCTATGGGTTCTACTTTGCGTTCGTTGGCTGGCCGCCATCGCTTGCTCGCCGTCCACCTCTCAACATCAACGCCGGCTACAGTAGTCGCACAACCGCACGGTTTCCGAGTTTACCTTCAACAGCAATCCAGGCGCTCGTGCGTTGAAGTAGCTGCTGCCAAGGGGGACCGACCGAGCACAAGCGGCCGCAGCGCAACAAACGAGTCCCGACCCCGACTGGCAAAGGTACGGTCCACTCCCAATCCTCCCCAAAATTCCGCTCCGCCCCTTCCTCCTACTTCCTCTGCTCGCTTTCCTCAACAAACCCAAATGCCCCAAGTGCGCTCAGGGGGAAGGTCCCTGCTTTTCGTCGGACAGGTATCGCCAGCGACGCAGCTCACACATCATACACGCACACCAATGCTTTTGCTTTCCTTGCACGCCGACCTCGTCCCCAGGTATCTCTCTATCCCATCCTTTCTTCATTCGCTCGTTTTCCCACCCACCCGCCCTGGGCTGCCCCCCGCGCCTGCGGGGGCTCTCAGGTACTAGCAGCGTGTGGAGTGGCTTCCCGACGCGCCTGCGAGGAGCTCATTTCGGAGGGCCGAGTACGTGTCAACGGCCGAGTGGTTTCGGAGCAAGGAACCACCATTGACCCCACAACGGATCGAGTGGAGGTATTACAACAGCAGCAGCAGCAGCAACAACAACAACAACAACAACAAGAGCAACGGCAGCAGCAACAGAAGCAGCAGCAGCAGCAGAAGATGACAACGATGAGGAGGTCGGACACAACCACCTCCAGCACCAGCAATGCACCGCAAACTGCACAGACTGCCAGAGCCGCGGGTAGTGGTGGCGGTGGTGCCGGCAAGGTGGCCGCTGCGGGGTGGCGCCAGGTTCCCGTACGCTTCTTTTTGGAGGCGGATAGCTTGTACTACTTCGCTGTTAATAAACCCAAAGTGAGGGTTATTATGGGGGTGATGGGTGGGGAGGGGTGGGGCTGGGAGGTGCGGGTGAATGATATGCGAGAAACTCCAGAACGTGTGTGTATGTGTGTGTTACACCACCACCACCTTCCTGTGTTTTGTTCCCACCCGCCCGAGGTGAGCCCTGTGAGGGGCCCTCACCCCCCCCTGGAGCTCTGGGGGCCTGGAGGCAAGGTCTAGGGCCAGCAGCTGCAGCAGGGTCTAGGGCTGCGTGTGTACGAAATGGGGAGAAAGACGCAAAGACGGAAACGCTGTCTAGACTACTACCCTACACCTCTCGTCTGCCCCCACCTTCAGCTGCTGGTCAAATACAGTGTCAACCTCCACCGCGGCCATCGCGTCCGCCGTCATAATCTGATCTATCCGGAACCCGACAAGGTTTCTACATCTATGATAAAGTTGTAAAGTCCTAAAGTAAATGTTCACTTCATCTTGTCAAATTTAAAACCCGTGGGGGAAAGGGAGGGAAGGAAAGAGAGGGGCAACGAAAGCGCATCGGGCCCTGCGGGGGCTCCCGCTGAACTGTGTAGCGTTAGGGCGCTTGTATACGAGTGTGTGTGCGTGTGTGTGCTTGTACCCGTATTTCATTGATGGGGTGGTGAAAGACGGGTGGTCGTGGAGTGGGGTGGGGTGGGGTGGGTGTGGAGAGGGTGTGCAGGTAAAGTGCTGAAGCTGTGTAGTAGTTGTAGTGATGGCAGGGAGGGCACGGTGGTGGCACTGACGGCGGCTGCACCACCACCACGGCAGTGGGTCAACGGCGCTGTAGTGGTAATGACGATATGGACTCCGGGTGGGCGCTGGGTGGCCAGGGCAAAATACACACGATTACCACTGTACTGCTAATACTATACTGCTACTACTGCGAAAAAGAACCTAACGCCCTCTGGAAGGGGGAGGGGTTCCTGCCACCAACAACAACAACCCGCGTACGGCACACGCCGACGGCTAGCGGTCGGGTATGTACGAGTACGGCAACTAGAGTCATTTCCGTACGAGTGAACAAAGAAGTGAAGCTTGGATTCAAAGAAGCAGTAGCAGCAGTCGCAGCACCTTGATGGGTGTCGTGATGTGGTGGCCGAAAGGGAGGTGGTAATTCAGGGGATTGTGACCAGGCAGTGGCAGGCAGGCGACAGGCAGAGGGGGCACGTGCACACGAGCCGGTCCTAGGTTGCGTGTATCCGTGACTGGTGTGTGTGTGTGTGTGTGAATCTCCCCTCCCTTCCTTCTCCCCTTTCCTCCCTTCCTAGTTTGAACGTCAGCGGTCGACATTTCGCAAAGCGGATGTAACCTCCTTCCCCCCCTCCCCCTTTTCTCTCCCTCCCCCTTCTCCCATCTTCCCCCCCCAGGGCTACATATGCTCCAGCAGTGATGTGAGTGGTCGGGGGAAGCTGGCTGTGCAGCTGCTGAACCCCTGGCTGGAGCAGTGGCGCAGGAACAGCAAAGACACGGTAAGGTGGGCTTGGGGGGGCCCGGGGTAGGGGTGATGAGGGGGGAACAAGTGGGGAGAGGGAAGGGGTGAGGAATGAAAAGGTAGACACGGTTTGGGAGGAGGGGAGATGGAGGGGGGGTGAGGAATGAGGCGGGGTGGGGTAGGGGGCGGGCGGGATCGCAGACCGGAGCATCAACGAGGAGGAGGAGAATGGAGGGGGAGGAGGGTTTAGGGTTTCGGAGCGGCATGGAGTGTAAGTGGAGGGGCAGTGCAGGGAGTGTGTATTGGCGGGGAGGAACAGTTGAACGGTTTGGGGGTGCTTGGAGAGCAGGAAGGGAAGGGGGAAGGGAGGGGGTGAAGGGGAGGGGGCAGAAGGGGATTCCGCCCTTGAGGAGGAGTGGGGGAGGAGAAGGGCGGAAAGGGGACGAATGGTACGGCACTTGGCGGATGATGCTATGATAGGCGACACGGGATGTTGGTCGCCAGTCGTTCGTCTTACCTCCACCTCCCCCGGTGATATTCAGGGTTTGGGAAGGGGGAACGTTAACGACGGAGGGGGGGGGAGGGGGGGAAAGACGAACCACACGCGATTGAAGCTGCTGCCAGGGCAAGATAGTAGCAACCGAAAGAACTGACCGAAAGGCGTCCGTGGCGACTGTGACGACTGTAACCTCGGGATGACGACTGTAACCTCGGGATGAAGAATTGACGTAGATGTTGGAAGTCCTACCTACCTAAGCCGCCAGAAATATTATAGCCAAACCGTAAACTAGTAGCTGTAGAAAAAGTAGTGAAGGCGGCGAGAAAAAAATGTGCTGACGTAAAAGTGGCGTAAAGTTGCTGGCCAGGAGAGAAAGCTGCATTGCTGATACTGAAAGGCTGTCGGTATGCAAGTGCTCCTCCCAACCCCCCAAAAAAACTAGAACGCGCGACTGACCCGACCGACCCAAACTAAACTATTCCGGCTAGCCTACCGACGCCACCGCGAAATACCAAAGAAGCTCGAACCACCTTATGGACTCACCTGGCCAGGCAGCAGGAGCAGCGGATAAAGGCACATGCAAGGCAGAGAGGTGGGGGAGTTGTGAGCAGCGAAAGAAAAATACGAAAACGCATGCAAATGCTGCTGAAAAGGAGTATTAAACTAGCTGATCGGGGAAGCTGGAAACGAGAAGCCCTAAAGAACCTATAAGAAAACGGAAGAAAACGCAGGAACTAAAAAACAATAGCAAGAGGCGGCGCAGGACGACACAGAAGGTGTCGTACGAGATGACCTAATGACGCATTGGACGGGATGACGCATTGGACGGGATGACGCATTGGACGGCGTGTACGCCGGCAGAATGCAAAGAAGGGGGTTGGAAAGAACGCAAACGCGAACGTTCTTTCCAACGCAAAAAAACCAAGCCCAAGGGAGGAGAGGGAGTTGGTAGGAAGAGAAGCGCAAGTGCGCAGGCCGGGGCCACCCGTGGCTCCCGCCAACCTGCGCGCACTAGGGGCATGTGCATGCAGCCCCGTAGTGCCTAATACGTGGGGAGGGGAGGGGAGGACGTCAGGTTTGGGGGGTTTGAGGCGGGAGTGGGAGATTGGTAGCGGGAAGTGGAGGGGTTCGGCGTGAAAGGGAGCGGGAACTGGGTTGGGAGAAAAAGGGGAAGGTGGGTGGTGGGAAGCGGAGGGATTCGGGAGAAGGAGCTGGAGATGGGGGAGGTGGCAAAGGAGGGAATTTAGGTATGGGAGGCAGGAGCTGGAGGTGGGTAAAGGGAAGAGGTGTGCTGATAGCGACAAGCGCGCAATACGGAGCAGGTAGAGCTAGTGCGAGAGAAGTGGGCAGTAAGGCGCGCGAGGGGAAAAACAACGTAGACAACTCCGTAAACAGGGACGGGATCACGGAGAAGAGGGGACGAGGGCATCGCGCACAGCAAAGCGGTGATAGAAAAGAAAGGAAAAGGCAACTCCCCTGCCATCGACATGGGGGGAAGGGGGGGAAAGGGAGGGGGGAAGGGAGGGGGGAAGGGAGGGGGGAAGGGAGGGGGGGGAGGGAGGGAGGTGTAAGAAAGAGGAAGGGTGTGTGCGGCATGGGTTGATAACTGCTCGGCTGCGTACTCTGGTCCTCAGTGTCGCACGGTTGCCGTACGTACGAGCAGTTTTCGGGCTCCGTTGCAACTACATAATACATTTAAAACTGCGCGTCGAAGAGCAATCTGGTAAACTTTGAGCAGACCCCTGGGATATTGGGATTCGGGGAAGGGCAGGCGGCGGGAAGGCAGGGCTTAGCAGCAATTAAATTCACAAAGTCGCACCACTTTTTTCTCTCACGACCACATCTTACAACACCCCAGTGTACCCCTCCCACTCCACCAACACCGGGCTTCAACCCTCCACACACACACATACATACATACACACATACATACATACACACATACATACATACATACATACATACATACATACATACATACATACATACATACATACATACATACATACATACATACATACATACATACATACATATATACATACATACACACATACAGTCTTCACCAGCACTTTCTTCTACTCGGCTCTGATCATGAAAACACGTCTTTCCCGTACATTCCCCTCTTCCTGTCGTACAGAAACGACTGCCCCCGCGTTTCTTCACTGTGGGGCGCCTGGACGTGGCATCAAGCGGCCTGATCTTCATTACTAACGACGGTGCGATATTTGTATGGTTTTTATGTACGGTCACGATGTACGGTATCCGTGGTACCCTGCGCCTCTTGACGCACCTCCACCCCCCCGGCTCTACCCCCTTCAGAACCCGGCAACATGCACACAGCTCTCATTTCCCGCCCTTCTTCGTCTCCCAACCCCCAACCCCCCCGCCGCGCATGCAGTCGACATTTGGGCCTTATTTCCCCCCTCGCCCCTTCCTACCCTCTGGACGTGTCGGCAGTTGTTTGTTTGTTCCTTGCATCGCCATATGAAGATATGGCCCCATACATACATACATACATACATACATACATACATACATACATACATACATACATACGCGGTAACGCGCGACCATTGCCCCCGGGAGATCCCGGGATCGATACCCGTTAGGGTCAAAAGACCTTCCGATGGTGGAAGGCATTGCGCCCCTGGTTGATGGACGGTGGTGACCTGGGATGAAGTTAACCTGCGAGCCGACCAGGAATGGAGTTGGGCCGCTGTCGACCCGGCAGATTCCGTTGGATGCTGGTGGTGGGTGCGGAACCTGAGCGATCCACTGAGAAGTTGACTAGGGTGACTGGATGAGGGTGCCCCGAAATACCGGGGAAGGCAGGGTTTCGCAGGGTAGCTGCCGCAGGGTGAAGATACACCCCCCTGTTTCACACATCATACATACACTGCAGCGCCATCCCCGGATGGAGGGGCTGCGGAGTGGCTGCGTAGATTGTTGGCAGTCTGAGTCGGGGTCAGGAGCACACAAGACTAACCGACTTGTGCTGTGTGCTCCCGACCCTTGCGCTGTGTTTCGGCTTCGGCCCCCGGCTCTCGCGGCCCACAGTGTAATCTAAGTCATACATACATACAGACAGACAGACAGACATACGTACATACATACATACACTCCAACTCCCCCCTGTCCACAGGTCATTGGGCCAACCGGGTCATCCACCCCTCCTCCGGTCTGACCAAGGAGTATGTGGTGGGGCTGGGGAGGGACGCGAGCAGACCGCAGCTGCAAGCACTGGCAGCGGGGACGGAGGTGCGCGTGTGCGGCGTGTGGGCGGCATATGGGTGTGTTTTGAATATGTGCGTGGAGGGGAGAATGTGTGTATGTATATATATGTATGTATATATACGTGGGTTATGCAAGGAAAAACAAAAAGGTGGGGTCAACGTGCGTTCAAAGCACCTTCCAATGCCGTACGTACGAGTCCAAAGCAAAATGGCCGCAATCTTGATTTGAAAAATATCAGATACAGATTTGTTAAAGTGGTGTCGTATTCTCAAGTACAGTCGTCCTCGGTGTCCTAATTTGCATCGTTGCGTACAATAGCTGTTGACGCCAATTAAGTGTCGTACTACTTGTAGCCTCGTAAACAGAGTGATGCAACTTGTACGATGTACGACATGCAGGTCGCGGGTACGTTTGTTTCCCCTGTGGAGGTGGAGGTCCTGGGCGACTCGCGGAGGTTGAGGATTGTTGTGCAGGAGGGCAAGAAACACGAGGTGAGTCTGTCTGTCTGTCTGTCTGTCTGTATGAATGAATGTATATATGTATGTACGTATGTATGCCATCACTATCACAACCCTCTCTTCCTCCCCTTTCCCCCTTCTCCCCCTCCACCCCCCCTCCCCCGCAACTACAGGTTCGCGAGTTGGTCAAGGCGGCGGGTCTGGAGCTGACCTCCCTGAAGAGGGTCCGCATCGGCGGGTTCCGCCTGCCCCGGGACCTGGGGATTGGCGGGTTCAGGTGGGGGATGGGGGGGTGGGGTGTGTGTGTGTGTGCGGGGGGGGGGGGAGGGGGTAGTGTCCCCCGGGCCGACAGTGAGGAGCCCTCGAGGGCCCTTTCTGCGCCTCCCGGAGATGGATAGACTGAGAACAGTGAAAGGACAGTCCGCCTGTCCGTTGCGAGAAGTGAAAGGGCGGGGGCGTCCACAGTCGCATTGCGGTCTCGCATATCCGAGTCCGTCACCACGTTTTCCAGGTTCTACACGGCCCCCTCCGGCCCCCTCTGCTAATCTACCCCCCTACCCGGCGCTAAGTTCCCCTACATTCCGCAAACCGCGGTCTTGGCGGTGGATGTTGATCTCGGTTGTGGCAGGGAGCTCAAGCCCTCAGATCTCCGTACAGTGACCGACCTCGCGGCGCAGGAGGCCGCCTCCGCCAGCGGGGAGACGCGGCAGGCGGTGCAGCGGCAGGCGGCGGCGCAGAGGGCGGCAGCGGCGGCGGCTTCCGTACCGCGAGCTCTGAGGGGAATGGGGGAGGAGGTTCTGGAAAGGCTGAGGAAGGCGAGGGAGTGACGAGGGAGGGGTGGGTGGGCGTAGGGTGTGTGGTAGCGGTGTGCATGGTTTGAAGGACGGAAGAATAGGTGGAGGTGGAGGAAGAGGGGGCCGGGACGATTGCGGGCGGGGAAATGGGGTGAAGGGTGAGGGGTGAAGGGTGGGGGGTGAGGGGTGAGGGGTGAGGGGTGAGGGGAGGGAGAGTTGGTAGTGTTTGGGGGTAGTCGGATCTCGAGGAGAGGATGAAGGGCGACCACCTGTTGACAGCTGCGTACGACTGTGTCGTACCTGTGTTTAGTAGTAGCTCACGATCTGGGCCTTTTCGAACTGCGTCACCGCCTCCACCTCCAGCGGTCGATAGCGATTGTTGATGATGGCGATCAGCCTGGCGTTAGGGGGGCGGGGAGGATGAGGTCGGGGATGTTGAGGGCGGGGAGGATGAGGAAGGTTCCGGAAGAGGACCTACAGCAGGAGATTGGCTTGGAAGAACGTGGACTCATAAAAACTTATAAGGTTGCATGTTACGTAACACCTCCTTCCTTACCTCCCACAGCCGCATTGCACATTGTCCGAATCGTGGGGTCGCAAGGCTGCCAAGAAACGTCCCTTTCGTGGATGTGGGTGGAGGAAGGAAAAGGGGGAGAGGAGGAATGTGTGTGTGATGGTGGGGTGATGGTGGATTAGGTTCTGCAGCTGTGGGGGTATCTGTTTCGGGGCTCGCAGGTGGAGGGGTTAGTGCTTCAGGTTGGGACGGGGGGAGAGGCGTTGGTGGGAGGAGGGGGGGAGGAGGGTGTTGGGAGGAAGGGGGGAAGGTGGGGGGCAGTGGAGTAAGGTCAGGCATTGACAATGTTGTGCAAGGGGCGGCAAAGAGGCTTTAGTGGGCTTGGGGATGGATTGGGTGAGGTTCGATGGCGGGTCTGTCACGCTGTTCAATCAGCGTTGACTCGTGCACGGGAACCTTATGTTCGCGTTAGTCGCGCGCGTCTGAGCCAACCTGTAGACTATTCGCTGCTTTTGTCACAAGAGCTTTTATGTGTAGCTTTTTATGTTTTAATGTCGAGGTTCTATGCAGCGTTCATCACGGAGCTGTTGTGATAAGGCAGCCACCGAACAGAAGACCGGGACACAAAAGGTGTCTTGCGAAAAAGTGACCTCAATTTTGAAAGCATGTTTTTGGACCTTGCATACAATATGCTGTTTATCATAAACGTGTTATTGAAGTCCAGCTCTTACGCCTTTGGATGTCTTGAGTAAATTGCGGGATGCTTTCCGGAAAGCCTCTTCAACACTACACCAGAAGGTGTCGAGGTTATTTAACTTTATACATGTAATGGGTTCAATCTGCCAGTATGCCACCGCGTCCTAAGGGGCACTCCGCAGTATCGGCTGTTTCGGGGCCGCATGGCGGGCAGGCCAGCATACGCAAAGCTTACGAGGCCCTCGGTGTGCAGCACTTTTACGCATCGCACGGATCCCATTACACCAATCCTCACGAGGCCCAGATATTTGCTGCCGTGGCACAACTACTTGATGCCATCCCCCCAGCTGTTTGGCTGGGGATGCATGACCTCGAGCCTGACGTAGCAGCCGATGACGATGACCAAGACGACAGCGACGATGAAGGTTGTCGCAATGCTGACAAGGCATACGGATTGGGAGGAGGATGGTTGGGGCCTGCGGCTGCTGGCGGTATGGCGATGGCTGTGGGCGTTCCCGAGGTGATGCCGCCTGTGCCGCTGAGAGTGCTGGATCTGGCATGTGGCTCCGGAGAGGCGACTGCCGCCATCACGGACTGGAACCAGCGGCACCCACTGACGGCAGCAGCGGCGCCGGCCGCTGTCACCGGCTTCCTACCACCCGGACAGCACAAGGGTCAGCAGCCCCACCAAGGTGTCCAAGGGCGCGGCCAGCGGCGTTCTCAATCGACGGCTGCGACCGTCCCCGTGCTGCTGCCGTACGATCTGCACATCACGGCCTGCGATCCATACACGGGCGCTGCATACGAACAGCGCACGGGCCGCGCCGCGCTCCGATGGTCCTTTGAGGACATCGCAGATGGCTGTTTGGCAGATTGGGAGCCAGCAGACATACAGACGGCCGCAGCGGTGGTGATGCCGCCGCCGTCGTCGTCGTCAGAGACTGCCCACTCTGGTGGCCACTCTGATTCCGTTGACCTGGTTGTTCCACCACCGCCGATATTGCTGTCACCACCACAGCGACTATCCCCCGGGGGACCCCATTTTGATCTAGTCGTCTGCTCCTTTGCACTGCACTTGTGCGATCCCAGCCGACTGTACGGTACCTGTACGGCATTGTCCTTGGCAGCCCGTTGGTTGGCGGTTCTGGCGCCTCACAAGCGGCCAGTGCTCGGTCCCGATCTTGGGTGGCGGTTGGTGGCGGTTAGGCGGGTGGAGCGTACCCACTTGCGGTTGTACAGGTCACTCAGGGTGGCGCACCCAGTGGTGGCGGAGACGGAGCCGGAGGCAGGATTGTCGGCTGCAGGACCGGCAGTTTAATGGGGCGGGCGGGCCCGGTTGCGGCGGGTGCTGGCTGACTATGGTATTTTCCCCGATGTCTGTGTCAGAGCAGTGGCGGGAGAGGAATGAGGCCAATGCCAGGCCAGGTGACGTGTTCTGAAGCTAATCGAGGGGGATAGAGACGGGGAAATACTAGTTGAGGCGGATGGGGGCAGCGAGGGGGATAGCTGGAGGAGCTGGGGACGGGTAGGGTGGGGGGCTGTGGAGGCAGGGCTGTGGCTGTGGCTTTGGTTCTGTTGGGTCCTAACAGGCAGGCGGTTCTAGTGTGTCCTTGAAGGTGGTGGTGGGGGACAGAGGGGGGAGCAAAAGGAGCACGGGAAGCAAGGAAGGGTGCGCTGCCATGGCGATGATGATGTGTGTATCTGTGTATGTGTGTACATTTTTGATGATCTTTGGAGCCCCGCGATTATGGCGGTACACGAATAACTTCATAAATACCGAAGCGAGCTCCGTAGTCCAGATTGGAGATTAAAGTCCTTCAGTGAACCTACACTCGTACATATCATACACCATCGTACACCAAGAGATAGCGAAATAACAATAGGAACTATATGTCAACTCTATTCGCAGCCGGAACATGACCGCGGCGTAGCTAGTAGCTGCACAGCCCACGTAATGGGCATCACGATGTCCGATTAACCTCTCATCAGCGCGCGCACCTCCAAGAACCGTACTGTAATCAGCCGTTCAGAGGTTGTGCGATACTAGCATTATCGCACAACCTCTTTCGCTGCTTTCCAGTTAGGCTTGCCAGGATTCGCCGTATGATCCCCACGTGCAGCTATCCGGACGGCGCATCGGCACGGACTTCGGTCTCGCTTTTCCTATGCCGTAAAGTCCCACCCCTGGGACACGGTCACAACTAGATTCTTTCTATCGCGCTTTATGAAAGACCCCAAAACAAACTAGCTCTTCCCAAACCACGGCATTCACAACGCTGCATAATAGCCGCCTTAACTTTTAGGACAGCCTTCTCACTCCAAGTATAGACCAAAAGATACACGACCTCATCAAGTTCGCGATGCACAAACAAACTGGGATCCGCACTTGACGCAACAAAGCCCTTAGACACCAGTCTTTGCATAAAGAATCACGCGACGCTTGACAATCATAGAAGGCCTTATGGAGAAGACAAGCAACGGCCGGGCCTCTCTCGAAGCCACGCGGTTGGCGAATGTAAATTTTCTCAAAGAAGAAGGTATGCACCACAATTGTCGAGTTATTGTTGACTTTTGGGGCCGCCTTCAGGGTTTCGCAGCTCTGGGAATTCCACGGAAAGGTTGGGATTCTGTTGGCGCACATCACCCCTTCTTGAGAATTATACCAGGCAAATTGCTATGCTGACGGGAGCGGTCACCGATGGACGGTTAGATATTGGGTGATTGTCTAATTTGTATATTAGTCTCTAATGCAGTGCACGGCCAGCTGGCCCGATGGCTCTACTCTTCGAGAGTCTGGAGCCCACTGTAACAACCACACACACACCACAATGCATGCGATGCGGCGACAAACGGGGCAGGTTCCCCCCCTCCCTGGATGCACAACGAAGTCCCCCGGATGAAAGCAGAATGTTGGCTGACCACATGCGAACAAAGGGAAAACGATGTCGGAGCAGCAGCAGCAGCAGCAGCAGCAGCAGCAAGAGTTAGTAAGTGTTGGAAGGTACGTGGTAGAGGAAGAAAGATTTTGGAGTGGGAATCAGCTGGGTACGGAAAAGATTCTGGAGCAAGGCAACGGAGTACAACAGAAAACCAAGAAAGTTGAAGAGCCTTGCTGCTTTTTGATCTTCGGAGGCGTGATGTGCCAAGCGTGGTGATGTTGTGAGGTGGTGATTGTGGTGTGGGTGCTAAGGCGGGCAGTAAGAGGAAGGGGCGCGGTTATGTTTCATAATGTGTGTGTCTCTGTATGTGCATATGTACATGTGTATGTATGTATGTATGTGAAAAGGGTTCGCGAATCTGGGAGGTACCGCATACACCGTCGATCTAGGTGAAGTGTGTACGGCAAGGTGTGTAGGACGAGTTGTGTAATGTATTTATATGAGTTTGAAGTTCCTCACAAATGGGGGGGAAAGGGCGCGACGACGTATAGATAGACCCATAGATGATGTACATCCTACATATGATGGCCAAGCCGCTTGGAGATGAGGTACTGTTCTGGTGGATTATCCTATAACGGACATGATATCGTTCAACACGACGTCACCACAAACCAGATCTGTTCATATTCGCAAGTAAGTAAATCCGCAGCCATGCGACCAGTCAAGCCACTTGAACCTGGGATCCCAGCAGGGAGCCACGGCCCATATTGAATGAAACTTATACACGTAAATTCCTTGAAGGCCGGCGGCATTATTCACAAAAGACATGCAGCAGTCCACCCTCAACGCCCCACAGTCACAAAGCCCGCCTGCAGGTGCAGGTAAGGTATTTGCCAAGCGGCTTGATGCACGGTGGGAGTGTCCGAATAACCTAGGTGACCCCCGCGTTCTTCCCCACCGGTGCCAAGGCTTGTCGCTAAATGAACTGGATGGGAGCGGCCCCGCCAAGGGGTGCGCGTCTCTATTGGCTGGGGCCAGTAATTTTTTTTCGTTTAGGGCGGGTCTCAATTTATTCCAACCTAAGTAACAAGTTGCTAGGGTCGTCGTAATTTATTCCTTAAGTGTGAGGCGCCAGACCCCCCCGATAAGTTACAACTCCCCTCATAGACCAAGTCTCACGCACTGCGTTGGCGCGTTTTTGGGCGGGGCCCCAGCGCGAAGCACCCAGGGGGGCCCCGACCTGTAGGATTGCCCATGTCCGTGTGTGCGTGTGTAACGGACCAAACATAATATCTCGCCCGGCTGAAACGCATTATAGGTACTATATAGCATTCTCCATCGCAAGGTATCTCGCCTGTAGCCAACAAAAATCGTATGAGCACAAACAACTTTGGCTGCCTCAATTGACCGAGGCCAAAGTCACATCAACGCCTCTCGGGCTAAATTTCATCTCAAAAAGGTGCCGTGTATCTCGTCATTGATTTCCGAGATGACAGCGTATGATAACTTGAACACCCAGCTTGTGTTACCATTTGCCCACACGGGCCTTCCGACTTGCCACCACCAAATTTGCTTTCATTTCTGCATGAAATTCACAAGCTGCTTGTTTGTACATTTACTTTGGCCAATGCATGGGGCCTCCGAAGAGTTGCAGCGTGCCGTGATGAAGCTTGTGGCAGTAGAGTGCTTTCCTGTAGCCGCGGGTGCTTCAAGACCTAAACATCACAGACAGCACACAGGTCAGCAACCGATGGGTGTGCCACGGAATAGTCCCGAAATCGCTCGAAAACACATTCGTTACGCAAACACTACCTCCCACCATGTTGACATTACCCATCAATTGTCACACTTGCCACCCACCGGCCTGTACGGCTGCAGGGGGGGCCCACCCTTTTTCCGGCTTCGAGGAAGCCGACACCCAACTTGTCGTTCGTGTGTGCACTCTTCGTGGACATGCGTAGATAGATCTGGCACTGTTTGTCAGCAGTAATAAAATCGACCAAGCAAAGGCCCAAAGCAAGCAAACGCATAGCAAATCACAGGCTGTCACCCGTCGCTGCAAACCACAGCAAACTAGGACTCTACCAGATCATCATGTACCGGCCCCTGCTGCTGCTGTCGGTTCTCTTTCTGCTTGATCTGCCATACACCGTCGCTCTGGCCCTTGCGGATGCGCTGTGTCTGAGCCCGCTTGGCACGGCGAGCGCTCGGGTTGGGCGCCTGGAATTCACTGTTGTTGTTGTCGAGCTGATTAGGCGATAGCTTGCGCTTATGCTGATTACACCCGCCATGGAGGGCAGGGGTAATGGCGCCCGTGTCATCGGTCGCCGCTGGCAGCAACACCATTGCGGATGCATTACCGACAACAGCACCGCCATCCCAAACGCCTTTATCAGGAAAATTTCCAGGCTTATGCTGTTTTGGCGTCTGTTCTACGTTCGACTCGTTGCCTTTTGCGTGTTTGGCTATATGAGGACCAGAGGGATGCAAAGATTAGGGATTGGGTTCGGGTACCGGTCAGGCAGGAATTAGGATTCGGAAAGAGGGGCAGGATTAGGATACAAAGTTGAGGCCAGGTTTAGGATGAGGACCCGAGTGTAGGATTAGGATTGCGACCCGGCCCCAGGATTAGGATTGGGACCCGGCCCCAGGATTAGGATAAATACCTATATCCAGGATTACGATTAGTACACTGGTATTGGATTAAGATTAGGGCACCGCAATGATTGGCAATTAGGATACTGCTATGTAGGAAGACTATCAAATCCAGCTACCGTTCAGACTGGGTTAGAAAATTGCTATGCCATGTCATACTAAGTGATGTCGCGTGTGATGTGTGCGCTCAAGCTCCTGATCACGGAAGCCATACGCTCCAGGAGCTCCAGTCATGCTTCTGACAGGCGTCTGCTGATCAGTAAAATTGCGATAAAACAATCTGCAAAATTTGACGAGGATGGTCAAGACACGAAGACGTATGGATGGCGTCCGCGCCTCCTCCGGAACCAACTGCACGACATTGAGGGACGCTTCCAAAGGCAGTCGCGTGGTATGCGTCCTTATAAAATATTAGTAGGTAAAATGTCGGAAACTTTATGAATAATTTTTCTACTATGCGCACGTGCTAATATTACTGGCTCAACATCATAGGTCGACATCGTGTTACGAGGCATGTCCTGCTTATTGGGTTGTACTTCATAGCTGCGAAAGCCCCTAGTATTTATGGCATTGAAGGTCTCTGCTTCGCTGCCAGTGTGGATGGTGATCCATTGGATCACCTCTCTCAGCTACTCCTTCCAAGGACGTGTTTGCTCTACCTGCTTGTTGTTAATTCTCGGGCTTCGGGCTTTGTATGAATGAGCCTGTTGTTATGCGCACATGTTAACATCTTTTGGCTCAATATCATAAGTAGACATCGTTTCACGAGGCATGTCCTGCTTAT